ATAAAAAGTTTGGAGCTCTTGTTTGGAAAGCACTTCACAAAATTACAATTATTTTTATCAAAAATACCAAATGCAAACCTAATATGGGGTTTAAGATCTGACTTTCTTTAATGCTTAAGGTTGGACTATATTCTTTGGGTGGCAACATCAGCTCTTTCAGAACTCTAGGGTGTCTTTTATTTTAGTTTACTAGACTTGCATCTGGGAAATTACTGCTTTAGGTCAGGGTGCTAAATAGTATTTCTAGAATCCTGAGCAAGTTAGGGCATCTTTCTTATGCTTTAGAATCTTCCATCCCTAAGAAACTTGAGCACTAGGGGCATGCACTTCTTTGGGAAAAAACATAACATTCATTGGTTTAGAATAAAGGCACAATGGCATCCCCAATTTTCTAATTATTTAGATGAGAGAAACTAAAGAAAATACAAGAGAATTCAATAGTCATTGACCTTCTGTCAAGGCTCTAACATTTGCTAGTTTTCAGAGAATCATGAAATTATAACCCTATTCAAATTTCACTTTGAAAATTAAAATGGTGAGCTATCTAATTTTCATTTGATCTGTGAAGCTAAAACCATTGACAGGATTATTTTGAGAATATCATATTTGAGAAAATTTTGCTTTCCTGAAGAAATAAACCTAACAAATTTAAAAAACAGTTTTGATTGTGGGATCTAAAGAGAAGTAACATCTATTAAATTAAGCTTGATTTTGGTATAGTTAAGTATTTTCATATGTTTTTCTTTGTTGATACTAATTGAAGGATTTTTAAAAGAAATTAAGATAGTATCAAACATAAGGACTGATATACACTATGCTGAATTAGAATAAAGAAAGTAGCACAAATTAAGAATAACTATGCTGAGGAGAGATAATGCCTATAATATACATGAGAGGTTGTTTGAGTTGTGTGAAGGTAGAAATGAGAAGCCTGTTCAGGCTCCTTATCTTAGGATTTCTATTATTTTCTTGAATACATTAAAAATAAGGTTAAATGACTTCTTGAACCCAATGTTTCAGATAATATTCAGCATATTCAGGCATTATTGAGTGTTATACATATATATACACATATGTACACATATATATGTATTGCATATATATACGTGTGCATGTATATGTGTATATATACATATGTATATATGTATATGTGTATACATACATATATGTCTATACACACATATATACGTATACAGGTATACATACATATATGTATATGTGTATATATACATAGGTACATATGTATATGCACATATATACATATATACATATACATACGTATATGTGTATACACATATACATACACACATGTATATATATGCAATACATATATATGTGTGTATATATGTGTATATATACATATACATATAATTTTTTTTTGAGACAGAGTCTTCCTCTGTCACCCAAACTGGAGTGGAGTGACAGGATCATGGCTCAGTGCGGCTTCAACCTCCCTGGCTGAAAGAATTCTCCCCACTCAGCCTCCTGAGAAGCTGGAACTACAGGCACGTGCCACCATGCCTGGCTAATTTTTATTTCTTAGATCAAGTGTTAAAATCTCTTGTGGAACTTTAAAAACAAACCTATTCCTGTGCCCACCCAAGTGAATGGATATATTGCCCTGGGATGGGATTTGTGCACTGGCATTTTAAAAACCCTTCCCAGGTGATAGTAATATACATTTAGGGTTGAGAATCTTTGGCTTTTAACTCCTATCATTAGTTTAGGGGCCAAGGGAAAACTTACCCCTCACCCTCTGAAGGTTCGCTGAAAGTCAACTGACAAAAGACAGATTAATAGGAGAAAAGAAACACAAATTTATTTTTATGTGACACAGGAGCCTTCAGAACGAAGACCTGAAGATACAGGAGAAACTGTCCATCTTTATGCTTATGTCCAACAAAACGTGGGCAGCCATGTAGAAATATGATTGGACAAAAAGGTTTTAACCTTATACTAGTAGACCAAGTCGGGTGGCCCAGCCAGGCCTGTCCAGATTCTTCTTGGCGTCTCTGTGCAGCATTTCTTCCTTCTTGATACGGGACAGTACCTTCTCTGGAATGGGGGTCTTATGACCTACAATTAAACTAGGTGGGTCAGAGAATTTCTTTATGGCCAGTTGTTACACAGAAAGACAGGGGGACTTAGGGGAATATTTTTAGGTTTTATTGCTGGCTTTGGGGAAAAGAGGTTCTGGTTTCTATAACCTGCCTTTGGGAAGAGGGATTCTAGTTTCTATGGTTAGTCTCAGGGGAGAATGAGGGACCAGAGATAGGAGGGCAGGGGAAGGTCAGAGAGAAGTTTTTGCTTCTGAGGCCTTCATTGTGGAGTATTGTTTTCTGAGCTGCTACACTAGTAAACTATTGCAAATCAAAGAAAATGACTGAGTTGAGTCTCAATTATTTTTTGGAGACTTATCTTGTCAAAATTGAGGATACATTTGGGAAAAAGGAACACAAAACCACCAGAAACATCTATGGTCAATGTTTCTTTACAAAGAGAGTCTGAGGACTTCAGTATTTAAAGGGGAAAGAGCAGACAATAGGAGAAAGAGGAAGGGGATAAAAAGAATGGGTAGATAAAAGAGGCAAGTGGTTGCATTCTTTCAGGTCTTTGTTTAGTGTTCACTGAACCTAGATTTTATATGTGAAAGGGTAGAGGAATAGTTAATTATGCATTTGTCTCATGCTCAGCGAATCTGCATTTTTACATAAGATAAAGTAAACATAGACTAGAGGAAGCTGTCAGACATGCATCTGTCTCAGGTAAGAAGAGGAATGACTTTTGGTTCTGTCCTTTGTCCTGAACTTGTGAAGGTAAGCTGTTAATTTACATGGTGACGGTGAAATTCAGCCAGACTGTTTTAGGGTAGAGATCTCAGGGCCTACAGGAATTTCCCTGTGAGAAAACTGTGAGGGAGGTATGTAGCTTTTTATCCCTGTAGCTATCTTTTTAAGAACAAAATGGGAAGCAGATCTGAGTGACCCAGTTCCTAGGTTGACTTTTCCCTTTGGCTTAGTGAGTTTGGGGTCCCAAGATTTTATTTTCCTTTCACAGTATACATTTAACATTTAAAGAAATGAAACAAATCAACAAAAGCGAAATAAACTTGCAGGATTATTTGTGGAATATATGGAAGTTCATCGGACAAGTATGCTAAGGCAGCTACCAGGGCTTACTAGTGCAGGGTAAATTGCGTTCCTTAAACCATTTCAATAAATTTTTACTTTAGCATCTAGTACATCTATTTTTAAATACAGAACAAAGTGTTTTCCAAAGCAACAGTTCTTGAAGTGTGAAATGAAGTTACCCTTCAGAAAAGCAGTTTGATTTGGCATGTTTCTCTCTGCATGATTTACAAGTGTATCCCAAACCTCTAATCTTCCCCAAATCCTTCAGTACTGTGAATGCCAGCAAAAATAATTTAGCATAATCATGTATAATGTATGATTAAATGTGTCACAGTAGATATTAAGAACTTTCTGAAGTTGTAATATGCAGCCTACTCTAGCACATCTCTTGTAGATTAAAAAAAAGCGAAAACAATCTATGTTGTGTAGACATTGTTATGCAGTCATAAACGTGACTTAGAAGCCATTGTGTGTGTGTGAAAACAAATGCCCACCACCTATCACTGGTGTCAATAAGTGTAGTTTTTAGGGAGAATACATTTGCTAGGGTGCTCTGCCATACTAAGCTGCGTAATTATTGTAAAAGTGAATGGATAGAAATTTCTGTATTCCTCTTTCTTTACTTTTTCGTCAATTTATCATACTTTATGTGTTAGTGTTTGTAGATCTCCTCATTGGAACATTTTCAATTTATTTCTTAGGAGTGAGATTTTTAAAAACCAGTTTGTTGAGTTATAATCTATACACCACATACTTCACTAATTTGAAGTGTATAGCTCAGTGGTTTTCCGTATATTCACAGAGTTGTGCAACCTTCACTATGATACATGGAACAGTTTCATCACCTCCAAAAGAAATCCTGTACCCATTAGCTGTCACCCCTCAACCTCCCATCTGCACAAGCTCTGGGCAACCACTAATCTGCTTTTTGTCTCTGTAGCTTTGCCTTTTCTGGACATTTCATGTAAATAGAAGCATTCCAATGCGGCCTTTTTATCTGGCTTCTTTCACTTAGCATAGTGTTCTCAAGCTTCCCCTATTTTGTAGCACGTGTCAGTACTTCATTCCTCTTTATGGTTGAATAATATTCTGTTTTATAGATATAGTAAATTTTATTTATTCATTCATCAGTTCACGGACATTTGGATGAATTGTTAATAAGAAGAAACTGTTAAAAAGTTGAAGCTACTTTATTTCTTTAACATGGAGAGAAACATCTATGTCCTTCGTTCCAGGTAGACATATCACACCCAACTATGAAGATCAGCATCCTGCTCACGTTCCTTTGGGGATTATCCTGCGCTCTCCCAGTAAGTATTAGGGTAGGGATATGTGAAAAAACCCTTTCATACTTAAAACTCCGTGATTTTCATTGGCTATGAACCAAGATGGCTGTATATGTTCCAGTCCAGTAAAAATAGTAGTTTCTTAGAATGCTGTTTTCTTAAGAAATTTCATTTAAGTTGTTTTTTATTCTGTTCAGTTGCCATTCATATAGATATCATTCACATTTTTGTTTCCTATAAGCTGTGGTTCTTAAAGTGTCATCCCGGAACCAGCAGCATCAGCATCAACTAGGACCTTGTTAGAAATCCAAGTTCATGGACCCTACCTCAGAGCTGCTAAACCAACTTCTTTAGGGATAGGAAACAGAAATCAGTGTTTTAACAAGGCCTCCAGGTGATTCTGATGCAGCCTAAAATTTGACTATCCCTACTCCTATGTATGAAAAGTGTTAATAACTGTTGCTTCAGAAATTTCTCTTTGGATTTACCATGTGTACTAAATTTTCTAGGTAGCCAGGTATCAAAATAATGAATCTGAGAGTTCTGAAGAATGGAAGGTGAGTAGAAATACGACTTTTTGAAATATTTTAATTTTAATTTATTATGAGTATAACCAAATTGACTTATTGCAAATGTTGAAACTGCTAATGACTTCATGAGCATATTAATAAGCTAAACTATAGAGTTCATAGATAAAAATAATGCTGCGATTCCAAGTTAGTAGTATATACTCTGGCAAGGAAGCATATTTTCTGTTAGCTTTCTTCTTGTAATGGATGTGTATAATAGTACCAGGGGATGCATGACAATGAACCAAGAGTTTTCAGGAGATATTATGACTTGAAATCTGTTTTAACAAGAGTTATCTGGTGGGCAAGAGGTCAAGTCCTGGGAGGTGAGAAAAGCAAGAAGAATGAGAGGACACTACAGTCTCTGGAATGAGAGCTAACGTTGCTGGCATGTTATTGTATTGAGAATTATTAACTCTCAATAACTCAAGAATCATTGCCAGGCACAGTTCTGAATGTTTTACGTATATTAACTTTCTTAATTTTCACACCTCTGTGAATTAGGCATTGTTTTATTCTCACTTTACAGATGAGAAAACTGACCACAGAGAGTAACTCAATCTGTCTAGGTTACGTGGTTAATTAGTGTTAGAGCCAGACTTTGAGATTATGTCACTCACTCTAGCTCCAGAATCCACATTCTTAACCAGTGTGTTACTCCCTCTCAGGAGGGAGCCTGATCTAAGAGGTCAGAAAATTCTCAAGATTGGCACTAACGGTTAAAATCTTATGTGAAATCAGAGCATTTTGTTCACTACCTTGTTTCCTACTGGCTTTTACATATGATAAAGCTTGGGCCCAGTGCTTTTGGTGGTGGCCAGATAATGTCAGCGACCTGAGGTGGGGTCTTGTCCATGCCTGAGTCTGGAATAGACTTCACAGTATTTGTTATGAACTTTCTTCAGAGATATCCATAGGCTGGTTAATTTAAAAGCAGACACTGTAGATCCTCCCTCTCATTTAACCAGAGGCACACAAACATGCCCTGTTCTCAAGTCTAGCCTTGGCATGAGAAAAATAACAATGTCTTGCTCCCTTCCACCCATTAATTCCAAATGATAATTGACTGGAGCACAGCCTGCCATTGTGCCTGCCTGCAGTGTCGCAGGCCAAAGACAGAGTGATTATAGCTCCCTTCTCTAAGGAGATATCCCCAGTCCAGCACCGCTGAGACGCACGTTGAAGACATATCAATAGCAGCTCCTCCCTGCTCTACTTCGCGCCTTGGGTGTTCCACACAGGACTTTGCCCTCCTCAAAGGGCAGGGGGGAGAAGTGGTGGGGAGGGGTACCAGAAGTTGCTAAGGCATTCTTATAGTGCTTATGAGACTAAAGATAGTGAAATAAATCAGAAGTATGACTAGTTAAATTTCTGACTGAGCATTTGTTTTTAAAACCAGGGCTGTTACATGACTTGAGAAAGGTTTAATGGCTTTCTCAATTCAGTTTTTTTTACTATTAAATTTTACATGATGGATGTTCTCAAATGGATTTTTTCTTTAGTTTATATCATGTTGAATAAATAGTTTTCGAGATACTTCCATAGGCATTAGCTGGTTTCGCCCTCATAACTACCTTGTGGGGTAAGCACAGTGGGTGTTAATTTCCTTAATTTATGAACAAGAAACTGGGGGTCAGACACGTGAAGTGAATTGCCTACCTTCACCTAGAGTAACCAACCATCTCGGTTTACCTGGAACTTAGGGGTTTCCTGCAACACATGACTTTCCGTGCTAACACCAAGATGATTGGTTCTTAGGGCTAAAACCAAGACCAGTGAGTTAATTGAGACTTAAATCTGGATTCTGAGTTTCAATGCTGCTTTTCATGTGCTACATTTCCTCTAGGTTGTATGAACGGCCAGGTTCAAAGACAGCGTATTTATTTCTGTAAATGAAATATCAGAAATAGAAACATCGTCTAGGTCTCTTATATCCGAAGATCTTTCAAGCCATTAGTCATTTTACCTTCCTTTTTGAACTATTTCATCATAAAATTTCACTAATTACTCATGTAAATGTAAGATCTCTACCAAGAAACTAAAAATAATCCTAAAATTATTGTAAATAATTACAATAATGAAATCCATCTGTGAGGGAGTAATTTGTTTTCCTTCCTTTCCTTTTTTGCAGGGTCATTTGACTCAGGCACCAACACCTCCCTTGGTAACTATCTCATTTACTTTTGTCATAAACATCTCATGAAGCAACTTTAACACTCTTTCCATTGCCTTTTACAATTTTGAAAGTAGTAAATCCAGACTGGAGGCAATTGATGTGTATCATGTTTTTTTATTTCCTAAGGAATTACTAAAAAGAAAAATAAACATTTTTCTCCTTTCAGGAGAGTAGTGAGTCATCGAAAGGAAGTAAAGTTAACTCAGAGGAACACGTAATTAAACAGACCTTTCTTAACTTTTCAGGCTACTTAGGAATGGAAGGAAATGATGTTAGATTAAATTACCTGGCAACAGTTCTAAATATAATATTTTCTAACTATGAGTTATGCTGGCTAAAGAGTCCCATAAAATAAGAAGAGAAAAATGAGTAAGGAGAATTCACATGCAGACATGCTATTCATCTTGTTTTCATCACTGAGGCTAGATTGCTGGCATTGTAGCCCCAAATGTCTCTGCTAGTTAAAAAATACACACACACAGACACACACGCACTCACAAATGGTCATTGACCATTTCAAACTTACTCATCAACTTAAACTGTTGCTTTTACAATTGGAGCAGTTCAGATCAGGTGAAGAAGTGCCTGGGAACTTCTCTGTGTCAAGGGTCCTGCTTGAAGACAGAACAGGAGAGCCCTGAGGAAACTTTAAGTAAAACAATTACTTCATTAATGACTTTCTCTTTAAAAATAGTCCCATCTGTGGGACTGGGCTCTGGGAGTGAGAAAGGCAGACTCAGTTTATGTCCCTTAAAGCTGGCGTTCTTTTTCATTTTTCTAAGACTAAGTGTTGTTACTTTCTTAGCTATGCTATTGTTTTAACCAAATTCAATCCTGTGGGACTCCAGAGAGTCCAGGAGCCAGGTTTCTCCCCAAAACTTTGTTTCATGTTGCATTCTACACTTAGCCAGAGTTAGAAGATGAATTATTAGCCTGTTTATCCCTATTTACTTGAGGTTATCAAAGGAACATTCTAGAAATTTAAAAGCATAGAACTGGGGAAATGCTGTTTGCTGGGGACTTTGTGATTTGTTGCCTCAAGGGTCTCTAAGCTCTCAAGTTACGGTAGCAATCCCTGCTTGAGAAAGGGTTAATGAAGTATGGTGATTCCTGCAATTCCTTCTTGTGAGTTGGGTTAACGAGGTATAGCAGGTTAAACCCATGCTCAGTTCCACCATACCAGCATCAAACTCCAGTGCTAGGAAGAGAAGTCAACAGCATATACACAACTACTCCCAATTACAGACTCAGACATTGATCAGTCGGGACGTGTTAAACAAACAAACAAACAAACAAACAAAAAACTAGCAGGTATGCTCTGTTGTAGGGTATGGTAAAGAGAGCAGATATTTTGGGAGCATAATGTGTGAAGACTCACTGTCCTTCCTTACTGGTACAGTGCATCCAATTGTTTTGCTTACAGGGCTCACCTCTCTGACTTCCCACTCAGCACTAAGCTGCCTTGGTGGTCACACTAGTTGGTGTCTTTCTGGTTGTACCAATGAGGTAGAAACATGGTTTGGGTGAGGTATATACCTTACTATAATATTTTATTTTCATTTTACCTAAATATTTTATCCTCCTGTCCTAGTACATTTTTCCCTCCAGATGAAAAAAAATTGGGGTCATTTTAAGATCACTCACTATTTTTGAAAACTCTGTTTTACACCAAACACTTTCATGCATGAGCATTATAAACCAACTCTTTAATTCACAAACAATTACCTAACAGGTTTTGTTGTTGTTGTTGTGTTTGTTTGTTTGTTTGAGACGGAGTCTAGCTCTGCCACCAGGCTGGAGTGCAGTGGTTCGATCTCAGCTCACTGTAACCTCTGCCTCCCGGGTTCAGGTGATTCTCCTGCCTCAGCCTCCTGAGTAGCTGGGACTACAGGTGCGTGGCACCACGGCCAGCTAATTTTTGTATTTTTCGTAGAGATGGGGTTTCACCATGTTGGCCAGGATGGTCTTGACCTCTTGACCTCGTAATCCACCCACCTCGGCCTCCTATTGCTGGGATTACGGGTGTGAGCCACAGTGCCCGGCCCAAGAGTTTTTGTTTTTGTTTTTGTTTTTTAAAGGAATTATATATACAGTATGATTTGAATTTCATAAATGTGATTTCCAGAAAGCTTTTTGAGAAAATGTTAGCAGCATTGAGTGAAGTGTGCCTATATAAAATGGAACCATTTGAGTTTCAACTTCTCTTCCTTCCTGTTTAAGCTCTGGTGGAGACGTTATTGAGTAGTAAAACTGACCATAGAGGTCAGTAAAACTGACCATTAGAGGAGGGGACGTAGGACGAAGGAAGCAGAAAGACTAGACAGGCTCTAGATAACTCCTTCTCTATCAGTTCCTGGAATAATGACCATATCTGTTAACCCCAAATTCTAGGCAAATGAAGACCCCAGTGACAGCACTGAGTCAGAGGAGGGCCTGGTGTCTGATGATGATCAATACATTTATAGGCCAGCTGGTGGCTTCTCCAGGAGCACAGGAAAAGAAGGAGATGATAAAGATGACGATGAAGATGACAGTGGAGATGATACCTTTGGCGATGATGACAGTGGTCCAGGGCCCAAAGACAGACAAGAAGGAGGAAACTCCAGACTGGGAAGTGATGAGGACTCTGATGACACCATACAATCCAGTGAAGAGGGTGCCCCACAAGGGCAAGACAGTGCCCAGGATATCACCAGTGAGAGCAGGGAACTTGACAATGAGGACCAGGTGGACAGCAGGCCTGAGAGTGACAGTGAAGAGCACTGGGTGGGAGGTGTCAGCGATGGGGAGAGCAGCCATGGAGACGGCTCTGAGTTTGACGATGAGGGAATGCAGAGTGATGACCCAGACAGCATCAGAAGTGAAAGGGGAAACTCCAGGATGAACAGTGCAGGCATGAAATCAAAAGAATCTGGAGAAAACAGTGAGCAAGCAAACACTCAAGATTCAGGTGACAGCCAATTGCTGGAGCATCCCAGTAGGAAAATTTTTAGGAAGTCTCACATCTCAGAGGAAGATGATAGAGGTGAATTTGATGACAACAACACAATGGAAGAAGTCAAGAGTGACTCTACAGAAAACAGCAACTCCAGAGATGCTGGCCTCGGCCAACCCAGGAGAGACAGCAAGGGTGACTCTCAAGAAGACAGCAAGGAGAACATGTCCCAGGAAGACAGCCAAAACGTAGATAGCCCCAGCAGTGAGTCCAGCCAAGAGGGCAACCTGCCATCTCAAGAGAACAGCAGTGAGTCTCAGGAAGAGGTGGTGAGTGAGTCCAGAGGAGACAACCCGGACCCCACAACTAGTCATGTAGAAGACCAGGAAGACAGTGACTCCAGCGAGGAGGACAACTCGCACACACTCTCCCACTCAAAAAGTGAATCCAGAGAGGAGCAAGCAGACAGCGAATCCAGTGAGAGCCTCAGCTTCTCAGAGGAAAGCCCGGAGTCCCCCGAGGATGAGAACAGCTCCAGCCAGGAGGGCCTGCAGTCTCATAGCACCTCAGCAGAGAGTCAGAGCGAGGAAAGCCAGTCTGAGGAAGACGACAGTGACTCTCAAGACAGCAGCAGATCCAAAGAAGATAGCAACTCCACGGAGAGCGAATCAAGCAGTGAGGAAGATGGCCAGTTGAAAAACATTGAGATAGAGAGCCGGAAATTAACAGTTGATGCCTATCACAACAAACCCATTGGGGACCAAGATGATAATGACTGCCAAGATGGCTATTAGCATCAGCTGTCCTAAGAAGCAGCTGTCACATAAAGGAGTCTTAGGGACTTGAAAGTGTATCATGATAACTATAATTTATTGATGTGTGGATCAAAAGAATAACCAGATGCCATTTTTTTCCTGAAAGGAATTGCTGGACATTACACTTGTTTCTAGGGTGTCATCATTTCAGAGAGGTTTAAATACTGTGGAGTAACACCAGAACACATCCAAAGAGGCTAGAAGCAAGAAAGGACCTGCATGATAACCTTGCAGCTGAGACAGTTCCTAACTCATCAACCTAACAAATAAAGCAACTGGGGGTCCATGATGTACCAGGCACTGTGCTAGGTGTTGAAAATGTAAAGCAGGTTAAGACTTGCTTCTTGCTCCTAGGAACTTATAGAAGGATCCACAAAGCTACAGAGTTAAAGAGGGATATGTATAAGAGAAACAAGAATTGTTACAACCCAGTATGGTGAGTGCCAAAACAGAGTTATGAACACGATATCTATCTGGAAGCACTGAGAAGGGTGACCAATGTGTTGGAGAACGAGGGAGGGCTTCACAGCAGAAGACATTGGAGTTGGAAGGTTGCACAGGGTTTCCTCGTTGGAGACTGGGGAATTCTATTCTTGGGATAAATAATAGTAAATTCTATAGGATTAAATACTTAGTTTGCAAAAGCACTTTGAAATTATGGCACAGTGAGTTGTTTTGGATAAGAAAGTATTTTTCTCCCAATTAATTTACCAATTCATCATTTTTTTTTTTTTGGTAGAACTCCCATAAACATCACCTTACTGATCACTGGTGATGATAAGAAGGATTGGGTCGGGAAGAGTGGGAGAAAGAAATTCCTCTTTACATAGATACTTTTTAGCTTTATTTTTCTAAAATCAGTTTGTGTGCAATGCTAGAAAAAAACTGTTCTCTGAGTCCTTT